CGGGGAATGGAATTAACTCAATAGTTTGAGAGATAGCAAATAGATCTGGTAATTCTTGACCATATCTTAGAAGATAGGAAATTTGAGGGCAACAAAAATTCTGTCCTCAAAAGGATTGAGTACCCACAATCAGTTTATCATCTTACACACAAAAACACAAAACAAAATGATGAATTCGAGATTATTGTAAAACAGAGCAATGATAAGATAACCTGGGTTGTAGGTTTCTGATGCTTATATTTTATAATCAGCCATGTAAGAATCACAGAGAGTTTTTAGCAGAGACATTGGGTGTCTTAGCTTCTGTCAGCGTTGTCAAAGTGCACGGGGGTCCCCCCAGGACCCATAGCACTGTCTACATTGGTTAGCTTTGCATCTCAGACGAAGGAAGCAAGCACTTGGGATGGGTTAAGAGACATCTTAGTTCAGGTAACTACTTACTAAGTAAACATTGGACTGCTAAACACAAGGTCAGCAGTTCAAACCCACCAACTGACCCCAGGGAAGAAGATGAGGCTATCTGCTCGCATCAAGATTTGCAGCCTGTAAGATTTACAGCTTGTAATCCTGTAGAGCAGGCGTCCTCAAACTACGGCCCATGAGCCACATGCGGCCCGCCAAGGACATTTATCCGGCCCATGGGGTGTTTGTGCCCGTTTGTTTTTTTTCACTTCAAAATAAGATATGTGCAGAGTGCATAGGAATTTGTTCATAGTTTTTTTTAAACTATAGTCTGGCCCTCCAATGGGTCTGAGGACAGTGAACTGGCCCCCTGTTTTAAAAGTTTGAGGACCCCTGCGTGTAGAGGGTCACTGTGAGTTGGAAGTGACTTGTTGGCAGTGAGACTCTTTATGAAGGAGTCTCCGGGTGGTACAAACATGTGACGTGCTTGGCTGCCAACCTCAGGGCTGGAGGTTTGAGTTCACCCAGAGGTGCCCAGAAGGTGCCCAGGTGATCTGCTTTTGGACATCAGCTGTTGAAAACCCAGTAGAGCATACTTCTGTTCGACACGCATGGGGTCATTGTCGATTAGAATCAACCTGCAGGCAACCGATCTCCCTCACTCTCTCCCCTTGTTACCATGCGGCTTGGATACTCCCCCTGGATAGGTCTGCCTCCTCCTTCCCTTCGCCAGTAGGCTTTCATGGGCAGGGAGGGGAGCCATATTCAGACAAAACTTCAGTTGTCAGAATGTCTTTGGTAAAGTTTCAGGATCCCCATGTCACCTACATTTTCTGGTCTTTCTTGGAGACTCCTTAGGATTCCCAAATTAGTTCCAGGTCTGTGTCCCTCCTAATCCTACCTGTGGGCTGTTGTGGTGAAGCAGGACTGGGAGGCAGTTTCAGAGCTCTGGGCCGGTTCCGGGATCACTGTGGGGTGATTGCTCTGCTAGCTCCCTGTGTCACTGCGACCTCCCTCTTGGGCTCGTAAATCCCTAAGACGGAGCACTTTTAGTCATTCAACCAAGACATCCTTAAACCAAAAGTTCTGATTTTGGGACGTGAATGGTCTCCTTGGGCAATTCTGAGCCAGTTAGGCCTCCTGTGCACCCAGGGTTGTTCTAGAAGTTTCTCTTAAGCCCATCCCCACCCCAATGTGTTGTGAGGGGCTGCCCTGTGTGTGGTAGGGTGTTTTGTAGCTTCCCTGGTCTCTGTACACTGGATGTCAGGAACCCTCCCTACCCACCTCCTCCCAGTGTGACAACCAATAATGTCTCCAGAGATGGTCACATGAGTAGGGGCTTGGGGGGCAAAATCGTCCCCAATGGAAAACCATTGGCAGCTTGACAATTTGGGTTCCTAGGGATTTTGTACTTTTTGAATCCCAAATGGTTTTCGAGTTGTGTCTTAGCCATGCATGGCTGCTCAAACAGAAATAAGGCATGTGATGTGGGAGACTTTCGCAAACATACTTCCTCACAGGATTTTAGGCGGCTAGACCTCTCAGCTAGGAGGTAGCTACCTCTAGGAGGTAGCGCTCTCTCTGTTGGCTCTGGAGGAACGTCTTTGTCTCTTTGAGTGCTTACCTCATTTGTCTGAGGTGCAACTCGTGTAGAAAGTAATTTGTGTTCTGGGGGTACCCTGTGCTCCTTAAGAATTCTGAAAGTAGGAGAGACGCCCAGGGTCTGCCTTTCCCCAGTGACCCTGAGGCTGAGCGCATGCTCTCAAATTGACTGACAACCACAAGTGCACCTCAATCTACCCAAACAAAACAACTCGATGACCACTCACAGGGACCCTAGAGGACAGGGTGGAATTGCCCCTGTGGGGTTCCAAGACTGTAACTCTTTATGCGACTAGAAAGGCCTCCAAAGGAGCTGCTGGGGGTTTCGAACAGCTGATCTTACTGTTTGCAGCCCAATGCATAACCACTGACCCCAGAGCTCTTTTCCAGCTTGGTAGATATCCAACACATCACCTTGTTCTTCCACTGCCATGACTTTTCTCTGCTTCTTTCTTTTTTCCTTTAAAAAAATTATGTATTTATTTTTATTAAGTACTTTTATTGGGGCTTTTACATCTCTTTTTTTCAGCTTTAACTGTTTAGCTTTTATTTTTTTAAGGATAAAAATGATAAATTAGCCAGTGGCATCACTAGGGTTGGTGCTACTTAGTGTAGTAATTCTTTTTTTTTTTAAATCATTTTATTAGGGGCTGATACAACTCTTTTCACAATCCATACACACATCAATTGTATAAAGCACATTTGTACACTCATTGCCCTCATCATTCTCAAAACATTTGCTCTCCACCTAAGCCCCTGGCATCAGCTCCTCATTTT